GAAGGAAGGAAGGAAGGAAGGAAGGAAGGAAGGAAGGAAGGAAGGAAAAGAAAGAAACAGTCAGAGAGGGAAGAAAGGAAAGATAAGAGGAGGAAGGAGGGAGGGTAAGAGGAGGAAGGAAGGAAAAGAGAGGGAAAGGAAAGGAAGGGAGAAAGAGACAGAGAGAGAAAAGGAAGGAAGGAAAGGAGGGAGGGAGGGAGGGAGGGAGAGAGGAAAAGACAGGGGGAAAGGAAAGGAAGGGAAAGAGACACACAGAGGGCACAGGAAGGAAGGAAGGAAGGAAGGAAGGAAGGAAGGAAGGAAGGAAGGAAGAAAGAAAGAAAGAAAGAAAGAAAGAAAGAAAGAAAGAAAGAAAGAAAGAAGAGAAGGGAGGAGGGAGGCTGAGAAGGAAGGAAGGAAGGAAGGAAGGAAGGAAGGAAGGAAGGAAGGAAGGAAGGAAGGAAGGAAGGAAAAGAGGGAGGGTAACATCAGAAAAAGTGGGACGGAAGGAGAGAACAAGGCAGGGAAGGGAAGGGAAACCTGCGTCCCAAACCCAGATCTGCATTTATAGACATTTATAAGTTGCCCATAAACAAAACCGCTCCCATTCGATGAACCCCGAATAAATTGCTGGGCAAAGCAGGGACCAAAAAGGAGTCTGTCCCACCTTCAGCCCAGGTGGGCGACCAATCCCACCCTCAAGTTCTGAATTCTGAATTTTGCAGGGGGAGGGACGTTATGTTGCTGCCCCCCAACCCCAGAATGTGTGTGTGTGTGTGTGTGTGCGCGTGTGTGATGCTCCCCCCAAAACTGGCTTTTCTCTCTGTTGTCTCTCTTGCCTTGGCAGCCAAGCACAGGCAAGGAACAGTTCCAAAGGCCAGCCAGAGAGCGCCCCCGTCGGGCGGATCGAGGAACTGCACCTCCCCAAGGAGAATTCAGCGCTTACCGGACGCCTGACCCAACTGGAGTCCCTGGCCAGCAGCCTCGAGACGGTGCTGTCGGGCCTGACGCGGCAAAGGGCAGAAGGCAAGGAAGAGAGCGGGAAACCCCAGCCTCAAAACCCCGCCTCGCAGGTGAGCTTCTAAGGAGCAAAGTCAACAGGAGGCGGATTCATTTTAACGACCGCACCATTCGCTTCACGACCGCACTGGTATTTTGCTTCACAAACTGGGGCCAGGAAAAGACCGTTAAATCGGGTGTGACTCGCCTAGCAAACTTGTAAGTACATTCGAGGTGGTCCTTGTCTTATGAACATATGTGGGACCAGAATCTCTGCTGCTAAGCCAGGTGGTTCTAACAGTGAGATGGGGCAGCATGTAGATTTTACAAATTAATCCATAAATGTTAAATGTGTTTGTTTATTTATAAATAAACTCAGCTCACCTTGAGGTAAGATGGGAGCCCTGTACGCTTTATAGATAGATAGATAGATAGATAGATAGATAGATAGATAGATAGATAGATAGATAGATAGATAGATAGATAGATGGATGGATGGAGAGAGATGACAGAGAGAAAGATGGATGGATATGATTAGATAAGAGATATGAGAGAGAGAGAGATGGATGGAATAGATGATTAGATAGATAGATAGATCGATAGACAGACAGACAGACAGATAGATATGGATGGATAGAGATAAACAGATAGATATGGATGGATAGAGATAGATAGATAGATAGATAGATAGATAGATAGATAGATAGATAGATAGATAGATAGATAGATATGAGAGAAAGGTGGATAGATGGATGGATATGATTAGAGAGAGGGATGGATGGAGAGAGAGATGATTAGATAGAAAGAGAGAGAGATATGTGAGATAGATGGATAGATGGATGGATATGATTAGAGAGAGAGATGGATGGAGAGAGATGATTAGATAGAGAGAAAGAAAGAAAGAGAGAGAGAGAGATGAGAGAAAGATGGATAGATGGATAGATGGATGGACATGATTAGAGAGTGAGACATGGCTGGAGAGATAGAAAGAAAGAAAGATTCATGTCCATCTCCCTTTACAACTGCCTTGCTTAGCGACAGAAATTCCAGTCCCAATTGTGCTCCTAAAATAAGGACCGCCTGCATCTGAGCTGCTGCCAACTTTTTTGTTCCGCACTGTTGACCTTCCATCTTAAATCTTTGACTTTTGTGACCTGCCTTCATTTCTACGTCCCCAGCGGTCTCTCCTGACAAGGCAGCTGTCCGAAGTCCAGCAGAGGTCGGGACGCCATGAAGCCGAAGTTCAGACGGTCCGGCTGGAGGCGGAAGGATGGCGGAGACGCTACGAGCAGCTCCGGCTGGATCACGATCGTTTGATGCTGCTACACCGACAGCAGGCGGACGAGCTGGAGGGGACGTTAAGCGAGCAAGCCGTCCTGAAGGCAGCGCTGCGCGGCCTGGAGAAGGAACAGCGGGAACTGGAGGGCAGGTGCCGCTGCAGCAGGGAATTGTGGGAAATCACAGCCGGGCGATGCCCTTGTCCATTGCTTAGGTGGCCTAGAGGTGGAGCTCTCGCCTCACAATCAGGAGGCTGTGAGTTCGATCCTAGGTAGGGGCAGATATATTTCTTTCTCTGGCCACACTGAAAATATATCTAGCTGGGGGGAAAAACTCCGCATTGGAGACAGGAAAGGCCTCCGGCCAGTAAACACTCAGCTCCATTCAGTCGCCCAGACTCCACCCGGCAAGGGATTTTATGGGGTCACTAAAAGAAGATGGATGATTTCTTTGCTGAAGCTCCAACCCTTCTGCCTACAGGCACAACCAACTGTTGGGGCAGAAGTCCAGCCTGGAGCTACAAGAGGTGGCATTGCAGGCCCAGAAGGAACGGCTCGAGCTAGCCGAGCGACGGCACCAGGATTTGGCTGAGCAATACGCCAACTTAAAAGAAGAACATGAGCGGTAAGGCTGGAGAAATTTGTCCGGAGGACACCAGGTGTATCAAGCAATTTTTAAACTGTTTGATGCTTACAGGAACTGGGCATGACTAGTTTGATGAAGAGAAGGATCACACCTAGAGTCCTGCATCCAGTTTTGGTCACCACACTATAAAAAAGATATTGAGACTCTAGAAAGAGTGCAGAGAACTCTATCTATCTATCTATCTATCTATCTATCTATCTATCTATCTATCTATCTATCTCTCATCTATCTATCTATCTATCTATCTCTCTTTATATACCTATATCTATCTATCTATCTATCTATCTATCTATCTATCTCTCCCCTATCTCTCATCTATCTATCTATCTATCTCTTTATATACCTATATGTATCTTTATATCTATCTATCTATCCATCCATCCATCCATCCATCCATCCATCCATCCATCCATCATCTACTGTATCTATTGACCCTATCTATCTATCTATCTATCTATCTATCTATCTATCTATCTATCTATCTCTTTATATACCTATATGTATCTTTATATCTATCTATCTATCTATCTATCTATCTATCTATCTATCCATCCATCCATCCATCCATCCATCTAATACATTAAGATTCATTCAAGCTGGAAGATAGAAGCCGCAGCAAGGACAGGAAGGCACCTTTGGTAACACGATGGCCCTTTTCCAAATACACTGCAGGATCCAACAATCCTTGGCCCAGAGCGAACGAGGCCACGATGACCTCCAGGGTGAGCTCCAAGGAGCGCAGAACCGGCTGACCGGCCTGCAGTTGGAACAGGCAAAGCTGGAAGCGGAAAACGCCGCCTTGAAAGAGCAGAACCAGCAGCTGGACACGGCCTTGGGGCGCCTGAGCACCCAGTGCGAGGTAAACCCACCGCGTTTTCCCCCCTTGCCTTGCCTTCCTGGACTGATCCACTTGGGGTGTGTGTGTGTTGTGTGAGAGAGAGAGAGAGAGAGAGGGAGAGAGAGAGAGAGAGAGAGAGAGCAGAATAGATCAGGGTTTGCAAAATGTTGGTCTGGATTTAGCAACGGTTGCCAATCCCTTCCTCCCACCACAATACAGGTAGACCACAACCGACCCCCAAATTCCCACCGCTAAGCGAGACAGTTTGTTAAGTGAGGTTCCCCCCCCCCCCCCCCCCCAATTTTATGATCTTTCTTGCCAAGGTTGTTACGTGAATCGCTGCAGTTGTTAAATTAGTGGCATGGGTGTTAAGTCCCAATTCCCAAAGGTGCTTCCCCCCCACCCCAAGAGGCAACTGGACTTTCTGGTTTTTCTTTGAAGACGTTTCACTTCTCATCCAAGAAGCTTCTTCAGCTTCCTCCCTCCCTCCCTTCTTCCACAAATGCAATACTGCAGGCTAATTCTGCCACTGCCAGCAATTCAATCCTGACCAGCTTAAGGTTGACTCAGCCTTTCGTCCTTCTGAGGTTGGTAAAACAAGGCTCCGGATCGTTGGGGGCCGAGAGGCTGCCTCTGTAAACCACTTAGAGAGGGTTGTGAGGCACTGTGAAGCGGTGTATAAGTCTAAGGGCTCTTGCTATTATCCTTCCTTCCTTCCTTCCTTCCTTCCTTCCTTCCTTCCTTCCTTCCTTCCTTCCTTCCTTCCTTCCTTCCTTCTTTCCTTCC